TGGTAAAACAGCAGGCTGTATCTGGAGTTCATGCTGTGGGTAATTTAGCACTCATACTAACTACACTAAAAAGTAATCTTCAGTCATGTTTATACTCTCTGCTTCCAGGATCTGTTTTCATGTGTCAGCTCATCCATGTGAATGTTAAAAGTGATCACTACGGAAAGATCAGGGAAATGACTATGAAGTGACTATAATTCCATATAAGATGCTAATGAGAGTACATAGTTTTATAAGTGGGTTTTTCATTAACATAGTGGCTACTAGAGCCTGAATAGGAGATTCCATGGGGAAAAGGAAAAAAAAGGTGAAAATTAAAACACTATGATAAGGAAAGACCTAATTTCTCATGGATGGAAACTCGTACTCTGTATGCATCATGCTGCTGACAGTGCAAGTGCTAGGGAGCTGGAGCAGACTGCATTGGAGATGGGAATGGGAGCAAAAAGCAAGGAATGCAAGAGAGTATGACAGTAAACTTCATGCCATCATGTTAAAATCAGGGAGCACAAAAAATACTGAATGCAAGGCCTGGATTCTAATCCATAAGGACCCTGGATGTAGTGCAGAAAGGCTTACATCTCCTTGTTATCTACCACACCTTGTTTAGCATGACATTTGAAGACTAACTGGAGGAAAGACCATGATCCTAACCATATAAGAATTTGGGTTTATATAATTATAGGAGTACATTTCTTATACCTACATAGAAATAATGGTTATTCTACTCCAAGGACTTTCTAAGACACCATTAGTAACTGTATATTTCCTGTTTTACTTCGCAAGGGAAAACATAGTAAACAGGTGCTAAGTAAAGAGCATGTTCTACACATCGCCTAAATTACTGTGCTGTTTTCAATTACTTCTTTGTACTACAGTCACTGGTCTCTTGACACCTGTCTTTCCCCTCAAAGCAGGACCTAACAAAAGGCCAAGAGATGAAGTTAATGGGGACAGGAGGGGTGGTTTGTTTGGTTTGGGGTTTTTTTTATGTAAGAAGGAAGTGCTGAATATCCAAAATAGAAGCACTATGTAAATAAACCATTTAGGCAGATGTATTTTCTGTACTCATTTGATCTGCTGTTCTTGGAGAAGGAAGCAAGTAACTATTGTGATGTTTGTGGGTCACTCTCAGCTGTGTTTTCACTCATGTGGTTGCAGCAATTCTTTTACTTTGCCCATTTTCATATTCAGCCTGACTTGGCTGTAGCCCAGGGCTGCCAGCAAATGACCGTATCACACATCATACATCTGCACCACATCGTTCTGTTTGCTCAGCATCAAACACACCATAAGCATTCAACAGTCAGAAGTATTAATTCTGACCCTGATGTGCTCAATCATATTATACTCACTTAAAAGCCACCTACTTTATTTACAGTTAACTATGATTAATACAGAACTCATACCTGCAGTGATTTTTCAAGGTCTGATGTGGAGAGAATTTGTCCCACACTTAAAACAAGCATAAAAGCTAAAAGAAAACCCAGTATGCTCCCTTACTACTTGTAACCATTACTCTGGCAGAAGCTGCATATAAAGCTTTCCAGGTTATTTCTGGTGCCCACCCTTCTGTCAGCCCCATCATGTCACGCCAGCAAGAATCTCTTACGTTACTCCAGCACATCCACCCAAGGTCACACGCACATGCCTGGAAACTTCAGGACCTCAGCAGTGTTTCTAGCTGGTATGTCATGGCATGTTGCTTACAGAAATGAAGAGCGCTACAGAGCGGCTGGGACCATACACGGAGCAGGCTTACCTTCCAGGAGGCCTGGAGCCAAGGCAGGAAGCTGATCCTTAGGAGAGGTGGGGCCGCATTCCTGCCGCGGCACCCGGCAGCTGCTGCTGTCGCTCCGTGGTGCACCCCGCCGGCTCTGCAAACACTCGGAGCAGAAGGCGGCAGGCGTGGAAGAAGGAAACATCACAGGAACCGCAAGCCTCCGCTTTGCACATGAGGAAGCAGAGCCCTCCGTGTCATGTACAGGGAGCAGGAGGCTCCTTGGCAAATTTCCTCCAAATGGCAAACTTTGAATACATTTGAGGATAAAACCAAGGAGGGTTATTTCAGTAGGACCATAAATGGATTCTGAGAGCTCTGAGCGTTCTCTGACATGGCAGTCAATGGAAGCTGTAAGTGCTTAAGTGCTCTTTTCGTGGGGCTTTTAAGTCAACTGTGTTAAAGTGGACTGTCCTGCTGGCAAGGTCCTACATGTGCTGTCCTCCAGGAGTACGGACAGCAGTGGAACAAGTGACCTCTTTTCTGTTGCATACCCATTGTTTCAGCTATATACACATGATGTTCCTGAATATTACTGCTATACCCCAGGCTGTAAAATATATTTCAATAGGTGCATTGCAAAATAAAGAAATCTTCCCTCCCATATTCAGTGACACTGTTTGTCTTGCCTTCTTTCACAGTTATGTATGTGGCAATGTTGAGACATGGCTAACAAAATATATTAGGAAAGCATTAAATACCTTGTTAACTACCCTTTAAGTGATGTGGCAGCTGGGAAAAAGAAGAAGCCAGTTGCCCATGGAAAATGAGGAACTGCTCCACAGTCAGGCAGTGGGCTTTTTCTAGGCACTTCACAGGTGAGCAGCAAGCAAGAGCACAGGGTATGAGCTGTCATTAACAGGCCAACTCCCATCATACCTTTTCCACCTTGTCTCACCCACGCTTATCAAACACCAAACCTCAAAAGATACATTACTCAGCACTGATAAGGACACGGGCATCTGACCTCCAACTCTACCCCTCTTTTGCAGAAGAGAAATGAAATATAATCACCTGCCCTAGCATTTTTTTGCTTAAGCAAAGCCTGAATAAACATGTACCAGAGGCTTTGACTGATGGACTTTGTGTTTGACCATTTACAAAATGCTCACGGCCATTTACAAAATGCTCACCGCCATTTCCAAAAACATTTGAATTCATTTGTCAACTTGTGTTCAGGTTTTTTCCACAGAAAGTGCTACCACCGTAAGTTTATACCTAAAACAAAATCCTCAACACTGCAATATGAAATGTGCTTTGAAATCAAATCACTTGAAAAGGATAAAGTGTTTAAAAGTTATCTGAATGCTGACAGCATTTGATTAAAAGCATGTAACTTTGATAGAAAATATTTTTATTTCCAAGACCTAATGAAGGATCTAAAATAAATACCTGTACATGAGGAGGAAAAGAAATGAAATGAAGAACTCTCAACAGCTCTGAACTACAATTTTACCTGCAGCCCGTGGCTGGTTTATAACAGCAGAATTAGTTTACTTCTTCTGCAGCCTAGGAAGACATAATAAAGCAATAATAAACTGTATGTTATTAGCTGGATTGCCAAAGATTTTACAAGTTTTGAGCTTGATATTTTTGCAATATGCATTGATTAAACATCAAGTCATTATGGAAGTACCCTCCTCTTGGAGGAAGAAAAGGGATGGGAAGCAAATATTTTTGAATATAACTTCATTTATCAACATCATTTAAGCTAATTCAAATTGGAATCCACATAATACATTCTTTATTATTAAAGCCATACCAGATTCTAAAGCAATGTTCATTTTGCAAATGAATGAAAATTAGTGTAATATTCCTATTGCTATTTTCAATTAAGATACTGATGTACAAGATAACGAAAAAGCCACAGTGGATGCAGTTGAGAGTCAAGAGTAATCTTGATATCATAGCGTTATTGCAAACCTATCTTTTCTAGATAAAATATCCCTTTTATCAGTAGGGGATATTGTTCTAACTCTGTGACAGCCATACTCTCCTGGGAACTTGTTCCAGAAAAGCCAGCTACCAGCATTCTTTCGAGTCAGATATGAATGAATCACCTGAGAAATGCCGCAGAACGTGATTAAAAGATGAGGATTTACCAGGTACTGAGTTGTCCTATATTATATTTACAGGAAAATAAATTGATACACATCATAAACCCCATAAATGCATACTTTATGCACCTGGAAAAGTCATGACATCCCAGTCTAGCAGAGCCAGACCCCACCTCTGATTTAAGGCAGCACCACATATCTCAAATAAAGATCAATCCCAAAAGGCTGTTCTAAAGCACCTCAAAATGCACTAGAAACCTGACCAGCAGTGAAGAGAATTGAAGGAAGGAACGCTGTTATACAAGAACATTTGCTCTTAAAAGCTTACCTCGTGTATACACACACACACATATATATATATATACATGAAATACTGGCATATCACAGTAAGTAAAATTTGAGGTGTTCTGCTTATATACAAATCAGGAAAAGAAAGAAAAGTCTCAGTTCCTCAAGTATAAGAAATTGATTTTCAATTCACTTTCAGGTGCATAGTTGTGTAAGATGCCTCCAGCATTTAGATCTCATAAAACACAATATACAGGTCCTGTCCAAATCTGATACACATTTACCTAGAGAAACTATTCTTTATTACACTAGAATAAGATAGAGAATTCCAATGGAAATAACATTTCTCTGTAGGGAAGAAAAAAATAACCAAAACCAAAACAAACCAACAGCACTATGTAAAAGACAGAAAAGGATTTTTTATTCTCATAGAAAATGACATTAAAAGGAACAATCCAAAGGAACTTGGGGGTAGAAAAAAGGGTAAGCTATATAGACAAAACATGGACACGAGTTTTAAAAAATACCCTCCCAAACTATACAATTGTTTTCAGTGTGTTTCCAAATGGGTAAATTACCTTCTGAATAAAAATCACATGCTCTTTTCACCATTGTATTTAGGTTCTGTTGGATGCCCTTACAAGTGGCTATTGAAACATGTGGTCACATTCACATAACCTCACCCAGCACATTTTATTTCAAGTGCACAGGTTCTGGTCAAAGGAAAGTTCAAGGCAAAGAAATACAAACATAGGCTCTGCTCCCCCAGCTCAAACCCATCTTCTGTGTAATGGTTTTCCCTACAAATAAGGCATAGCGGTTCAACTACTACATTAAAAGTAATCAAACAATGGGAAAGAAAACCACCCATGAACTCCTTCCAGAGAAGTACTTTATTAGGGAGGGTAAAAAGCACTGTTCAGACAGTCCGAATAGGCATGGCCTTCTGTGCTGTCGGGTTCCTCAGGCTCAAAGTCATCCGGGTCTGGGGGCAACTGGTCGTTATCTTCATCAGAAGTGGAAGGGCGTGTGAGGATTATTCGAGGTATCTTCAGCAAGATGCAAAAGATTTCAGAGAAAAGAGTCAGGTCAAGAGCAGAGAAGTGGGTAAAGGGTTTAAATGTGAAGCAGGTGATGAGACAAATATGAAAGAGATGTAACATAGCAGGGTTTCATAGCATCATAGAATAGTTTACTTTGGAAAAGACCTTTAAGATCAAGTCCAGCTGTTCACCTAACACTGCCAAATCCATCACTAAACCATGTCCCTAGTGCCACATCTACATGTCTTTTAAATACTGCCAGGGATAGTGACTCAACCACTTCCCTGAGCAGCCTGTGCCAGGGCTTGACAACCCTTTCAGTGAAGACATTTTTCTTAATATCTAATCTGAGCCTGGCATAACTTGAGGCCACTTCCTCTCCTCTTATTGCTTGTTACTTGGCTGCACTTCCACTAGCTCTCCCAGTACCATTGGGTGGATCCCATCCAGCTCCATAGACATGTGTGTGTCTAAGCAGGTTGTAACCATTTCCCTTTGGATTAGGGGGGCTTCATTCTGCTCCCTATCCCTGTCTACCAGCTCTGGCTGGTACCCAGAGAACAACTGAATTTACTATAAAAGGCTGAGACAAGTGGCATTAAGTACCTCAGCCTTTTCATCATCCTTTGTCACTATGTTTCCCCCCACATCCAATAAAGAATGGAGGTTCTCCCTAGCCATTTTTTTGTTTCCTTTTGTTTTCAGCTTTCTGAAAGAGAAAGTGTTCTATGCCAAAAATTGCATTGATAATTAAAGCAAAATAGAGATAAATCACCTTTGCCTCTCACTGGCCAGCTTTTTTTTTTTAAAAAAAAAAACACTTCCATAGGAAAAAAGAAAAAAAGGATAGAAAGATCTTTATAAACACAAATCAATATGAAAAATATAGAACTACTATTATTTAACTTCATTATTTATCAAATTCATGCACCTGAAATAAATAAAGTGTTAAGGACCATAAAACATATAAATTATAATTTATGTAACTATAAATTATCTAAAATATAATTATGCTTATAAGCATATCAATTATTGCTCTTTGGAAAACTGCATATTTTGGCTCTTTTTACTGACAAAACGTGTTTAAGGGAAATGGTAAGACAAAATGTCAATCTGTAATTCATTAATAAATATGCATATATGGATTTGATTCGTATCAATTTTTGTGCTACAACTTTGTGTTCTTTGAGAACTATATTGTAATGTTTTGTAATTTATTTAAGTGCTGTAAAGAGAAAAGAGAAGAATACTAGGTTCTTTATGTATAGGCAAATTATGTATCAGTAATGGTTTGTATCAATGAATGGGTTATTACAAATTTAACTCTGATGTGCAAATCAGATATTTTACTAATTTTTAAAAAAGTTTAACATGCAATGAAAACAGATATAACAGTAAGTCAGTATATCTAATGGAACATATAACAGTAAGTCAATATATCTAATGAGCAGGTAATATAATGACAGGTAATACATAAAATGCACATCTTAGGCACAGTCTGAAAATTTTCAAAAAAGGTAGTATTTTTTATTTATCAGCTACTTAGTTGCATTTCTTCACACTTTACAAGAATGATTAATGTTGACACCACACAATTCAATCATTTCTATACTATTTCCTTGCTGTACATTATTAGATTTAGGAAATGACACAAGCACATAGATGCTTCATGGCTGTTCAGCTAGTCAGCCTGTAGTTTTCTGCACTGAAGTAAAATGAATTATTCCCCAGGTTCCATCAATTGCATTAGCTCCAACTCTACTGACTGTTGGGGGGGCATGCACACTACACGTAGATACCGAAATGCACGTGTCAGTCCAGAGCTTAATCTCCCCCATGATGGGCATAAACAAATTTTAAAACCAGGTATAAATGAAGTTATATTCCCTGGAGTATTGAACATTCAGACATAGCTCCTTTTTTTTGTCTTTTTTTCCTTCCTTTTACATAGACAAAGAAGGACACATTTCTGGAAGCTTTAAATAAACTATATAGATCCTAAGTACTGGCCAAGCCAACAGCTCCTGGGAAGATTTTCTTCTGTCATGCACACCTGACAGCACTTATAAGCTTTCCACACACTGGATGTTTCTCTTGGCTCTGTTCATTGCTGAAAGTTATTTCTTATTTAACGATAGCCAGCAGCTTTGTGCTAAAGCGAATGCACATCCTATATATAAGGGTGGTATGCTGGGTCATATATTGAAATATCGCCATTTCAAGAACCAGTGTAGAGATCTATGCCCTATCTGAAGTTATCTGCAGAAATACCCAGGACCAGACTTTGCATTTCATTGAGCTGTCTGTTCAAAGCTCAAGGAAGGCCTTTCTTTTTGTACCATGGTACTAATAGTGTTCACTATTAGTGTTCACTATTCACTAGTAGTGTTAATAGTGTTTCCCCATGACCAGATTGCATTAAATTAGCAAGTATGAAGGAAGAGTCACTGGTATGTCTTTTTCCTTTTGAAGAACAGCCCTTAGCCATTTTGAATGTGAGTTATGGAAATTCTCTTTATCACCATGGTTTCTACTCCTCAGTGATCCCACTTGCAAGGAATCAAATCCAATTCTCTGTAAAAGCTTTTCTTAAAATACTTCATGATTTCTGGAGTCTGATTCTTGGATACTGTTTTTAAATACTATGATGGGACTAAGTCTTACAGTCACAAAGTCAATTTAATTGATGAAATGGAAAATAGAAAAAAAAAAAATCTAGCTGTTAGTGAGGCATAACCCTAAAAAATTAAACTAATAACATGAAGTTCTTGTGTGTTATTCCCCTCCACTACTGAAATACCCTTCTTTTAGAGGCCATTATTAATTTTATTTATCACAAAAAATACACATTTTAAAAAAGAATTATTTAAAAATTATTTAAAATTAATTACCAAAAAAATTTTTAAAAAGTAATTAATTATCTGAAAGAAACATAAAACTGCAATTGTAACAATATTGCTAGAGGAATGAATCCCACAGGATACTCAGTTCTGGCACAAATACTTCACATTTCTCCCTATGTTCAATACACTGCAAGCTGTAATTTGGCTTTCCCAGCTTTCCCAAAAACTTGTTTTATTTCCTTGATGACACACTCTATCCTACACCCACGGTCTGAAAGCCTGAACACCTCTAAGTACTTGAACAGCCAGCTGCAAGACTCTGCAAAAACCAATAGCCCTGTTAGACAATTTCCTGTCCACTGGTTCATGCCTGTCCAACATTTCTATGGTATTTGTATCAGCCTGTTCCATGAAATAAGTGCTGCTGGGGAAAGCCTTCCATGTAATCTTTCATGCTGCTGCAGATAAAGAGGAACTGGCACCAAATGACTAACTTTCTACAGCAGAGGTTGAACAGTGTCTCAACCCAGAAGTGCTGCAAAGGCTGGAAATCTGTGCTCCCAAGAGGAAAGCAGGATCAGCTTTGATCTGCAGCTGTCCCTCTGTATCCTCTCCAGGCAGATGAAAACTCGCACATACACCCACTCATGCTGATTTGGAGTCATAACGCTGAGTTTCTCTAACAAATCAAATATTCTGGTCCAAGCGCAGCCGTATCCTTTCTCCCTCTGCTTGCTGCACATCTCTCTGCCCATTCTCTCACTGAAACCCCTTCTGAACACATTGCTGTCCCCAAACTCACCACTGCTCGTTCCATTGTGGCCAATTGTACTGTTTTGTGCCTGCCTCCTGGACAGGATGTGGAAGAACCCCGATTTCCTTCCTGTTGAATCATAGGTACCAATGACAAAACAAAACAACTCTTAATTGTGAATTGTGCCACCTATGCAATTGCAACAACGAAAAGAGGATCAGGCCTCTACTTTCTCTCTCCTAGCATCAAAGTTATCAATCTCCTGAAAAAAAAAAACAAAAAAACAAACAAAAGAAACCAAACAAACAATAACAACAAAAAACAAAACCAAACAAACAAAAAAACCCCAAAACAAACCAAAAACAACACAAAACAGATGTAAGATGCACACTTCCCAGTTCTACCCACAGTGGACACATCTTCACCTAGCTGTCCCCTAGCAACCTAGCACTCTCCATCACTGCCTTCACATTCACCCTAGCTCCAGAAAAAACACTATCACTACAGGAAAATAAAGCAATCACTAAGTTTTATCAGATTCCTTTCCTTATCCAGTTTTGGTTTTTAGGGGAAAAAAAAAAAAAAAAAAAAAACAAATACGAAACCAAAACAAAGTAACAAAACTCAACATGATCTTTTGTTCCATCCTTTTCTCAAATCCACTGTTTCTCTTCCCAGAAGAGAAATCCCAGAAGTACTTTCAGGTTTCCAGGCTTATCTTCATTAACCAGAGTTTCACCTTGTTATGTAGGCAAGTTTTGCTTTTGAAACTTTTCTTTACCATTCATATTTAAATGCACATTTCCTGGTGCATCATGATTGAAGAAAGACAAAAGAACAGACTTCATGTGCAAAAAAATGTCACAGAAAGTGGAAGCAAACTATTTCCACTGCCCCTTACAAGAAGGGCAAGACAGACATTTGGGATGGAAAGAAGGAAAACCTTTCCAGCACAGGCAACTGATCTCAAGCTGCTTCCCTAAGGCACCTGGGAAAGTGTAGAATTCCCATTTTCTACCAGTAATTCTTCAGAAGTTGGTCCTGGTGTAGGAAAACAGATTATCCAGGATCCTGTGTTGTTCCATTGATTTACTCCACTAGTTTTTACTGAATAGTGTCTGAACTTGTTTAAAATATTTCCGTTGAAATTGCGTAGTCCTCCTACTCGCATCCCATCATCATTCACGCGTTATTAAAATAATACCCGAAGCACGAGTCAATCCCAAGCATCAAAATATATGGACTACTTTTCCAGAAAAATGTAGGATTAACCATTTTAAACAGGTTACTATTTTCCTTTTGCCCCTGAAACTGTATTTGCAGTGCCTAAAAAGTAAATTTCTCAAAGGACATGTCCCATACCAAAACCAGTGTGTTCACTGCGGGAATTTCATTCACTACCTCATTTG